GAGCAGGGAGCTGTGTGTTGGCTTTGTCCCATCCCAGCCTAGATTACACATTGCCTCCACATTGGGCTTAATTCTGGGCTTCGCCTGGATCCATTCCATGCAACTTTGGCCTATTTTCCATCCAGACCTTCTCATTTCCTACCGTTGAGGAATTTGCACCTCTGGGATGATGCGGAGACTGTCCAGCTGCGGGGCTCAGACTTGAACCCAGAACCCAGCTGAGGTCGATGCCAGCCAGAGCCCCGGGCTGGGATGTGGGATGCGTCAGTCCTGAGATGCTACAAGGTGTGCCCTATTCTTGTCTTGGAGGGTGTCTGCTGGCTGCTGGATGGCAGGGGTGGAAGCAAATCCGCATGCATGGAGATTTCTTGTCCCCCTGAGTACTGCAGCTTTTGCAGGTTTCTCCTCCCAGCCCCACAGACTGTGCTGCTAGAGCAAAAGCCCTGGAGAAAACCCCTGTCCTCTCTGGTGCCCCTGGTGCCCACCCTGCAGCCTTTGCTGATGGGGACTGGAGTGTTTCAACCCCCTTATTGCAATCCCAGCCAGGCGGGCAGGGAGCTCAGTACCTCCTCATGTCCGGGGATGGAACTGCCCTTGGTGTGCTCTCACCTGGGCTGCCCCAAAGCTTTGACCCCTGGGTAGACTCTGCATTGCTCCCAACCTGAACTGAGCCCCCATGGGGATGGGGGATGTTTGCTTCCCCAAGGAGCAGGGAGCAAACCTTTCTCCATCACCATCCACTTCATGCCCCTGGGAGCACCAGCGCTGCGTGATCCACATGCCTTCCTCTTCCAAGTCACCCTGGGGGGGATAGTGAGGGGTCTGGGCAGTGAGACCGCCAGGGCCCCTTGGAAATGACTTGAGGCACAAGAAGAAAAGGTTAAAAAGCAGGCACAGAACTCCAGGGCCTGAATGTGCAAAAACCCATGTCTGCACTTTTTCTTGTCGCACCTGTCCCTTGCCCCCAAACCCCAGCACCTGAAAGCCAGGGTCCTACTAACACCTACCGGGGTGTGTGCTTGGAGCATGGGGGCCAGGGAGAGGGGAGAGCCCCGGGGTTTGTTTTGCACAGCACAGAGGCTGAGACGTCGTGCTGGAAACACGCTTCCCAATGTGCTCCCTGCATCCGTGGCTCCAACTGCGCTATTTTTTCCCCACTCTGCTTTATTGTTTCTGCAATTTTGGTTTTCTAAAAAAAAAAGAAAATCTCTCCCTTTTTTTTCTTTCCACAAGGAAAAAAAACAACAAAAAAACCACCCGCTCCATGTATTTTTAGCAGCCAATTGAAACGTCTCAGAGATGGAGGAGGGAAAAAAAAAAAAGGTGGCGTGGCGTGTAATAAAGACAGACAGAGTAACCTTTGAGGCTGCCGGAGTGAGCCGCTTGCACACACGCGCGTGCCATGCCCAGTTTGGATTCCAGCACTCTGGGGACACGCTCACCGGCCAGGCTCTGACTGATGCAATGGTTGCTGCCCGCGGCCTCCGTGTTCCCTGCGTCCTGCTGCTGATCCCAGGTACCACGTTTTGGGCTCTTTTGGGTTACGAAAGGGGAGGACTTTTCAGCTCAGCCCAGCCCACCCAAAGCTGGACCATCCTCAAAGGTGCCACGGGGCCTGATGGGACTCAGAGGAGCTGGATGCACGGCTCGCTGCCCTTTGAGGTGCACAAGGCATTAACCCTTGATCCTGGATAGGAGAATTTAATTGCTCCCCACCCCATAGAGATTTTGGTGTCACATCTGCAAAGGATTTGTGGTTCGAGGGGTTAAGATAAGGAGTTTAAATGCAGCTCTGGCTTTCCCCAGGGCTAAATAGGCAGCCAGGGGGGAAGGATCAGCTGGGGTTGTTTCAAGGCTGGTGGTGGAGAGTGTGTCTGGGTCACTGATGGCTCTCTAAGCCCCATAGCTGCAGAGAGTGGTTTTGGGCGAACTCTGGATGTGTCTGATGCCAGTCGTGGCTGAGGGCAGCTATGAGAGAAGCAGCCGCAGACCTGGAGGGAACTTATGGGAAGCGTTTGTACAGCGCCTTGCACAGCGTGCACATGATAGCGCGGGGAGCAGCGCCATCCCCATGGCCCTGGGGTGCATGACCACCTGTGCTCCACATCAGTGCCAGTCTGGGTTTTGAAGGGCCGGTGTAAGGTGGATGTGGCTAGCGGGTCCCTGTGGGCAGCTTGTGACGCAGAACCCGAGGGTTTCACGGCTGGATTAGTCTGATCAGGGGGTGGGCAGTTGCTTTGGCAATGGGTGGGAAATGGGTTCATTGGGGCAAGGAGCCGTCCCGTTCTGCCCCATTTCCTCTGTATCATGGTCAAGGCAGTGTGACCCGGTGGGTAGAACCAGGGCAGGGCCAGTAAGTGACTTTGCCCCCAAACTAGCTCCAGCCCTGGCTCAGGGTCTAGGGGCTGTTCTCCCAGCACTGCGCACCCAGAGCCATGCCAGCCCCCACTCCCCCTTCCAGGAGCTCAGACCCCAGCAGGACAGGGCCCGGCTCTTGCAACCAGTAACCAGCAGCGAGCCCTTAGCAGCAAGTGGTTTTGCAGCTCCAAAGGTCACTGTTGCTCGTAACAGGGCCAGGAAAGGCCTCCGTTAGCAGCAGGCACAGATTAACAGAGCCAGGCTGGGCGCTGCGAAGGCTGGATGCAGCGAGAGCTGATCCACGTGTCCAGACCCCTGGCTTTCAGGACAGACCCAGCAGCAAGGAAAAGCCCAGAGTCCAAAGCACAAGCAGCCAGCTCAGCTGGCCCCTGCCCTCCCCTCTATCAGCCTCAAGGCCACATTAACCCCTAGCTCTTCCAAATGGGGAAACTGAGGCACAGAGCTGCAAGTGACTTGGAGGTTGACAGGACTTCTCATGAAAGCTGGGCTGGAAGCAGGTTTCTGAGCCTGCAAACATCTTTTGGGGTCCAGCACCTCTTGCCTTGTTTCCTACTTGGGAGGAGACAGGGGTCTTTGGATGTGCCAGAGGGGAGACCTCGGGGCAGCTGGGATTGAAATGGGGCAGATCTGAGATTTGAACCTGGGTCTCCTCCACTGCTGAATTGCTGCCTCGTATAACTCTGTGCCTCAGTTTCCCCTGCCTCATGCCTGCGAGATACAGCCTGGCTCCCAAAAAGGGAGCACAGCTCCCAGGTCTGTGCATTGGCTCCCCAGAGCTGGCGCATGGCAGTGGTCGATGGCACGGGGGACCCCGGCCGTGTCTGGCAGCTCCAGGCCTCTTGCCTGGCACAGAGGATGAGCAGTTCAGACCCACTGGGGGGGTTTCTGCAGGGCTGGGCAGGCCACAGCAACCACCCACAGGTCACATCCCAGCCCCCTCTCCCTGCCACCAAGCACAGTGCCGAGTTTCGTGAGACTCTTCCCCCGCAGCCCTGCATTTGTCATTACCCCGGCACTGCTCATTTATGCAGATGCTGTCTCCCTGGCTCTGCTCACACCCCGCCCCAGTGACGGCAGGACCCAAACAGGATCCAAGTGCCTGGCCTGCCCTAATCCCCAGGAGCGGCTGGGCCAGGGGTACGGGGCTCCTCTCTACATATTTGTCCCAAGTTGGCCTCTTTCATCTGCAGCCAGGCTGCATCTCAGGGGATAAGGCAGGGGAAACTGAGGCACAGCATTACATGAATGATCAGCCCAGCTACACAGAACCCAGGAGTCCCAGGTGTATCCTCTGGATCCTCTTCTCCTCCTTGGCTGTGAGCAGAGCCCAGAAGCTCTTGTCCTTCTGGCATCTACGCTGCTGCTCTTCAAGCGCACGGAGGGGATCCCCAGCGCGGCTCCTCTGTCTGGGGGTTGGACTAGATGACCTCCTGAGGTCCCTTCCACCCCTAATTTTCTATGATTTTCTATCATCTCAGGGATGACTGGCTTGCTTGTAAAGGAGCTTGTAAAGCGGGCAGCCAGGAGGGATCAGAGCACAAAGTGGCCACGCTACTGCAAAAATACCCCCTCCTCTTCAACACAGTGCATGGGGGGTGGCAAAGGGTCTCTCTGTCCCCATGAGAGACAAGGTATGGGGTTAGCTGGGCCCCGTTCATGTTGTGGGTTGATAACCTGGCGCTGCGTCGGCTGTTGCTGTTCCCGGGGATGCGGCCTGACTCGGTCATTGGGCGCTCGTACACATGCCGGGGGTTTAGTTCTCCCTAAATTGAAACAGTGGATTTTTACTTGGTGGGTAGAAAGCAGCTGTGGCTCTTGCCATTGGGCACTGAGTTGGATTTGAAGAGTTTTGGGGTCGTTTGGCCTGCGGGGGCGGTGAAAACGCAGTTTTATTCATGAGTGATTCTTCTCAGGGGGCCGTTCAGCCAGCTCGGTTTGTCTCTGCAGGGCAGGCTGGCGTCTCCCCCAGTCCCGAGCTGGCGGTGGCTGAAATCTGGATACATCTGGACCCTCTTTCGCTCCCTTCATGATGCCCTCCCTGCTCCGGCCCCGGGGGTATGGAAGGCAGGAGCTGTGGTGTCCGGAGAAAGCCCAGGAGGGAAGCCCCCCAACCCTTGTTGGAGGCACCAGGGAGGCTCTTTCCCCCTTGGAGCCCGCAGTTCCCTCCCCGAGTGGCTCGCTCACGATTTTGGATAGTTCCCTGTCATTTCTAAGGGGCGAGCTAAGATGTGAGTCTTCTCCTCCTCCCCCGAAGCTCCAGCTCCCAGAGTCACTGGATTTAAGTGGAACCCGGTTGGCCTTTTTTTTTGAGGAAAAGCAAGTTTCCAGCTCTCGCGGCCGCAAAGTCAGCCCCACGTGCAGCCCAGGCAGGCAGGAGGGGCGAGCTGGCCCAGGGCATTCAGCAGCCATGAGTCAGGCTTTGAACTCGGGGCGCGGCTTAGGAAGTTTGGGATTTTTGGTGCTCGTTGCATGTCTTCGGGTTTCTGAGAATTGAGTCTCACTTTGAGGCCTTTGCAGTGATTCCCACGTGACTGAGAAGTCCCTGATATAATGAGATAAAAATCCCCAGACTTGGTAGCATTGCCCAGTAATACAATACAGATAAAATGTAGCATGTTCAAAATAAACCCAACGTCAGTCTCCGGTGAGGGAAGAGTGAGCAGTGACTGGAGCATGGAAAGGGAAGGGTGGGCTAGTGGGTTGGGCCCCAGCCTCGCATTTGAAAGCCCTGGGTTTATTTTTTAGCTCTGCCATACACTCCCTGTGCAACCTCGGCAAATCACTTGAGTCTCTCTGTGCCTCGGTTTTATCTGTGAAATGGGTATAACAACACCACCTGGCCTCACAGTTGTGGGGGGATGTGAAGACCTGTATGTAGTCTAGATATTATGGTGCTGTGATACCTTGGCAGGTCAGTAGTGGTGACATGTAGTGCGTCTGGCACCCAGAATTTCTGTTTTGGGTGAAATTCCAGCGTTCTGACTGTTTTTTTTTAACCTGAAGCAGGGCACAAGGTCTTAAATCTCCCCCTGAAACAAAACTCACCCCCTGCCAAAAAGAAAAATCTGATTTGAGGCAACTGAAATAGTTTGAAACTTCTTTCTCTGTACTTTTGCAGTATATAATAAGCATCAAGCCTCTGCGGATTCTGCAGCCGGTAGCTCTAATGACATTCAAAACTCGCCCCCACAAAAAAAAAATCACGCAATTGAAATAGTTGAAACTTTCGTTCTCTTTGCTTTTGCAGTGTATAAATATCAAGCCTCTTTGGATTCTGCAGCCGGTAGCTATAATGTCCTTCCTGTTTGTCACACCACCTTCAAACAAAAATATTTCAATTCTTTTCATTTGGGGAGGGGGGGAACCATTGCTCAATCAACACATTCAAGCCATGTGTTATGATTCGGGATTTTTTTTCTTTTTTGAATGGAAAACGTTGCATCGAAAACTTCTCGATGAGTCCTGACTTCAAAGCTTTGACGCGGAGTTTGAGCATCTTGAGCCTCAATTGAAGCCTGCGGGGTGAGGCTGGGTTTTTCGGGCTGTTTGGATTTGGGAAGGAGCCGTACTCAGGCTGGTCTGGCTTGCATAGCCCTTTCCCAGTTGTGGCTGGGCCCCACCGTGATACCCTGCTGCAGCTCATTCAAAAAGAGCCCTTTATGTGCCTTCGACCACAGGGCAACCTCTCCAGCAACCTCAGCGCCGAGCCGGTCCTCAGCATTTCCCTTCTTTTCCCCCTTCTCTTGCGGCTCTCTCATTTCTTCTTCTGGCCCGGTCCCCTGCGCACCTCAGCTGGGAGACGCGGACATCTGTGCTCCCAGCCGACTGCTCCGGCTAGAAAGCAGTGCAAGTTAAAACAGAGCGGGAGGCACTTGGAGTGTGTGCGAGCAAGATCCACGCTGGACCTCAGGGGCTGCATTTTCTAGCTACACCCAGGGTAATTGCTAGTCTGTTTTCTTCCTGAGGTTTGCTGTGAATCTGGGCCACGGCTCGCTCTCCAGACAGAAGAGTTACTGTGCACAGGGCACGGCCTCCACCCTTTCCTTACACATCCTTAGCACCGCCGGAAGCGCGCTAGCTCCTGGCCGCGCTGCCAAGCCGGCCCTGGTCCCTGGGAGCCGGCTATGATCTCAGCTTGGAAGCTGTGTGCATGGGGCCATTCCCGCCAGGGTTTGTGCAGCCCTGACGTCTAGACCTGAAATGTCTTGGATGGTTATAGATGCCCCGGCAGTCGAAGGGAAGTTCTTCAGGGGAAAGGAGTGTGAATGAGCTGTCTTCTCCCCAGGGAGGTAGCTTCACAGGACAACACGTTGGATCAGTGGCAATGAAACCCTGGGCACGTCTACATGTGCCTCTTTTAAGCAGGCTTAGCCTAAAATTGCCATTTTTAAGGCACATTAAGAGCGCATGTCTACATGTGCTCACCCTTAATGCGCCTTAAAAAAAGCAATTTAGGGTTATCGTGAGCCTAAATTTGATACCGACATAAAGCAGGTATCAAATTTAGGCACGAATAGCCAAATCGCATTAGCACACCTGTAAATGCACTAATGTGCATGAATGCCGTGTGCATCAATGGATACACATTAATGCGCATTAGAGCATCTGCATGTGCACTAATGTGACTTATCTATTCGTGCCTAAATTTAATGCACCTTAATGCACATTAGCATGTCCATGTGTATATGCATGCCTAAATTCTCTTAATGTGCCTTAAGCAAAGGCGCATTAAGTTTCAGGGCATGTAAATACACAAGTAGACACCCCCCTGTGTATTTAATGATGATGATGATGTACGGCTCTGGGACCTCTGGAATCTCTCCCGTCCAGCCCCTGGCTCCAGGCAGGATGGCCCCTGTCTGCACCAGCCCAGACAGTGTGAATCTGAAAAGGTGCCATTTGGGGATGGGGCGAGAAGACAAATGTAATCCCTCACAGCCCCATGGGAGGTGAAATCCAGCCCTGACCTTGGCCAAAGAGAACATGGGCCATTTGGCTCCATTGCTGCGATGTCCTGGGGTATCAGGGTTCACTGCCAAGCTCTGCGACAGGCCTGCTGTGCTCCCTCAGGGACCCCACTTATTGTGTGCCTTAGTTTCCCCTCCCTCCCTTTGTGCTGGAGCTCTTCAGTCCAACACGCGTCTCTGATATGTGCAGCCCCTAGCACCATGCAAGCCTTGATCTCACTGGGACCCTTTAGGGGCCACCAGGATACATGGATGCATGCCAGCTTTGCTGCAGCCAGCCTTGTATGCCCCTCTCTGTGCCTCAGTTTCCCTGTCTACACGATGCAGATGCTACTTCCCAGGGTCCTGGCAAGGAAGCAGCATGCAGTAGCTTTGGAAGCAGGGTTGGCGGGGGGTTCTGTCTGTAACTCCTATTGATCCCACCCCGGCACAGCACGTCAGCATGCATCTGGGGGACCAGCTACCCCAGCTGTGTGCACAGCACAGCAGGGAGCCTGCTGCTACCACAGCCCCACATTGCTGGGGAGATCTGCCCTGTGCCCGTGTTGGCTTGATTGAAACAAGCCCATGAAGGGCTAGCCCAGTTTGCAAACTCCCTGCCCCTGGAAGACCAAGCTCCCAGCCACATCAGCTAATGCAATCCATGGGGTGAGAGCAAGCAAAGCTTCCTGCAGCCGGCCGGGGGGAACGTGGCTGAGAGGACTCCAACCTGCCCATGTCTTGGCTGCCTTGGCAGCCTGAGCCATGGGTAACCTGAAACAGTCCAGACGAGGAGACAGGGACCCAGAGCTTGGGACAGCAGAGAGCAGCCAGAGGCCCAGGGTCTAGGTAGGAGCTGGAGATCCCTCCACTAAGCCGGAGCCTGGGTTTGTTTGTAAGGATGCAGGTGTTGACCCAGCCCTTTCCCCTCTCGATGCCCCATTGACCCGTAATTGTCTCATTCATAAGCCATCAGGAGCGAGGACCATTTCCTTAGAGCCTCCTTAGTTGCTAGGAAAGCAGGGGGATGTTTTGAAGACGTGTTAAACCCCTAATGCGGACGGGACAGCAGGGCTGAACACATCAGAAGTTGGAACAACAGCAGAAACCCATATCAACTAACCACCCTTTCTTCCCATGGGCATGGGCCCTGGGTACCCTGGCAATGCTTGAGCTGCTCTGGCAGCAGCAATGTTAATTTGCCTTATTTGCATGCCATCGCCCAGGCCCCAAGTGCAGGAGTTCAGAGCCCCTGAAAAAAAGTTTCTCCAACTTTTTGAAGCATCCTGACATTGCAGGGTCTGCACATGTTTGGGGGAATGGCTCGGCTACCAATTAAATCCCTCTGCTACCGTGTGTCAGTAAGAGCTCCCAGACTAGGTCATGGAGGTCTTCATGAGAGGAGGCTGGTTTGGGTGGGCTGGTACCTGGAGAACTGGCCTGAGGCCTCTGTTTGGTTTCCACATCTGCCACTGCCCAGTCGGGTGTCCTCAGGCAGGTTGCTTCTTGTTTCCTTGCCTCAGTTTCCCCATCTAAGAGAGGGGGACGATGATGATCCTCCACTGCCTTGTTATGAACTTTGAGAGGGATGAGCATTGGCACTCAAAGTGGCACTCGCTACAGCAGAGGAGGTCATTCACCTTTCAGCGCTCCTGTTTCAGGCTCTCGGCAAACTCCGGCAGAGATTCCTGCCCCCGTCCCAGCTGCATTGTATTGTTTCCTTCAGATCTGTCACACGTGGAGGCTCAGCTCCCGGACAGTAATGAGACGTGTCTGCCTTCTCACGGACCACTGCCTGGGTTGGTGTAACACTGTGCTCTCTCTCTCCCTCCAGGGCTATGCGTGTCCTTCAACATCGACGTGAAGAGACCCCAGATCTTCCACGGCCCGTCAGAGGCTCAGTTTGGCTACAAAGTCCTGCAGCACGAAGCCGGAGGGCAGAAATGGTGAGTGCTGGGAGATTTATACCCACTGCTGCCATTTTGACAGTGGCCCGCTGCTCACATGAGACATGGGATTCAGCGGAGCAGGGTGAACAGAGGTTAGGAACAGACGTTGCATTTGTCCCGGGATAAGTTGTGCCTTGTTTGTCCTGGGACAGAAATATCCTGGGAGTGGCATGTACACACATCACCCTTCTAATTGGGGTTTAGCGAATGGCTGAAAGCACTGCCACTTTTCTGCCATTAATTCAGTGGTGCGATCCTGGGATAACTGCACAGATGCACCTGGGATAACTGTATAGACGCACTTTGTAGTATTGCAGGATACGCTGTTCCTACCTTTTATCTGGGAAACTTTTTAAGGATTTATCCAGGGACAACGGGTGTGGATATCTGTACACTTGCACTTTGTCCTAAGATAAAATGGTTTGCAGTCAGAGGGGAGTGAGGGGGGCTGGGTTTTTTTCCAGCTGGTAGCTTCCCAGTTCAAATCCACTTGTAAATCCCAGTTTGACTCCACCTGGCCCCCATTCTGCGTTGTCAAGAGTCACCTAGGGTGACTTACAGTCCAGGCTCAGCTGCCACTTGAAATGGGCTTGCCCAAGAGGGGCCTGGGAAGCCTTGGGATGGTCTGCTTCTGAGACCAGGGTCTTTTTTGGGGGGGCTGGAGGGGCAGGGGCAGGGGCAGGGGCAAGGGCAGACCAAGCTGCTGTCAGTGATTGCATGGAACATCTCAGTTCTCCAACCCATCTCCCGCCGTGTACAAGTGCCCCCAGTGTCAGGGTCGATGCAAGGAGGGGATCTAAGCCCAGTGCTGGCCAAGTGGCCCCTGCACGGTGGCTCTGATGGAAGAGACGGGGATGGATAGACAAGCCATGCTGCATTTGGCCCTCTCTCCTAGCTTTACTCGGGAGCGACAGGAGCCCTGCCAGGGTGGGGGAGTGATGGATGTGATCAAGGTAGCAAGCAGCTGCCAATGAACAGGACATGGCCCCTGCAAAACTCATCTACTCCCAGCCCTGTGCTGGCACTCGGCTACGCCGGACTTTCGTGACCATGGCTCCCTCTGCTTCCTTGGTCACGACCAAACAAACACGTCTCTGGCACCAGCTCCTCCAGCAAAGGCAAGTCCATCTGCAAATGTAAGGCAGCACGTAAAGGCACGGCAAGTCTCTCCGGGCTAGAACAGGGTCTCCAAGCCCAGAGCCCTTTACAGGGGGGTTCTCAGGGTGCGGCTTAGAGAAGCAATTTCAAAAATGACTTTTCCTTGCAGGAAAACAACAAAAAAAAGGACACATTTTGACCCAAAGCCTAAAAAACCTTGAGCCCAAAGTGCTCAGGTTTTCTGATGAAAACACTGGAAACCTCTAAGAAAAGGAGACTCATTTGAGATCCCCGTTTTAATTTTAAGGTTAAATATCTACCTTATCTTTTCATGTACCACTCTCACCTCTTTCCTACAAATTAGTGGCTGAAAATTGGTGAATCTTTAATGAAGAAACTGATTCTGAATAGTTTGGTGTAAAAGAAAAATCTTTCCTTTTTTCCCTTTCATTCTGCTTTCCCCGAACTAGGTGCGTGTCTTATCTGGGGCAGTGTGGTATGCCAACAAATACGGTGCTTTTCTCCCCTACGTGGTGAACTTTCAGCCACCCTGAATTCCCCAATAGAGGGCACCTGCCCATGTCTTGGGAGTCTGTAAAGGGATCTGTTCTGTCATTCGACCCTGGTTTATGGTTTTTTTGAAGGGGAGTGGAGGGGGGGCAAGGAATGGTAAAAGCACCAGCTTGGAAGAGAGTAAATCAGCCTAGGGCCTATATATGGTTTCTTTTCTCTGTGCCTAACTTACATCTCCGGTGCTGTAAGGCTGTGCTGTTATTCCCAAAGGAAACTGAGGCACGGAGGGGCTATTGCACCTCTGAGATAGGAGCACTGGGAGCCGGATGAACTTGTCCATGATCACGCAGGGAATCTGTGGCAGAGGAAATGAACCCAGGTGTCTGGAGTCCCCTGCAAGTGCCCTCCCCACACACCATCCTCCCCTGGTCGATCTCTGTGGGCGCTTGTGCTCATTGTGTATTGGTTACATACACGTTATGAAACGGCATGAAAAATCACGGGGGAAATCCGGGGGCTGTTGATCTCCGTTCCAGAGCTGATGCTTGGGGAGCGAGAGAGAGAGGCCACTTGTGCTTGCCAGGGAGCTGCCCTGTCCAGCGACGCTTTCTCACGCTTGGGCAGATCCTTGGTGCCCAGCGCGCAGAGAACTTCCAACACGGCTTCTATTTCCTTCCTCCATTCTTTCTCTCATTTCTTTTTCTTCCCACTGAAGGTTTTATTTGGCTGTTTCGATTCTTCCCGGGGCTTCAGAGGTTCTTTCCTCAGGTCTACCAGGACCTGTTGTTTTAAATCACCACCAAGCTCTGCTCCTGGCGTAGTTATGGCCTGAGATCTCGCGGTGGCCAGAGGGATGGCTACAAGGACGCACTGAAGACCTACCCCAAGATGCTGACATTAAGAGCTGGGACGACCTGGCTGCTAAACACTTCCAATGGCACCACAGCTTATGGAAAGGAGATGAATCCCAGCCTACAGCCAGCTCTCCCCTGTGGAAAGACCTGTGACTTCTGCATACGGGTCTGCGGCTCAAGGCTTGGGCTCTTAAGACCCATCAATGAGCCATGGTAGAGTTTTGTCCTTCAATTGAGGGATTGTTGCCGCTGCCAAAATCCCCACCATCCTCCAAGGTGCTGCTGCGGATTTGACACCAGGGTTGACCCCCGGGGCAGTGCTCTGGCCCCGATCCGGCCTCCCCGTGATGTTCCTTCATGTGTGTTCCCAGCCGGAGGCATCACAATCCAATGGGATGCTGTAACGCCAGACGGTGCTTCAAAGCATCCCGCCGTGTGCCAGGACTGGTCCCGGTGATAGTGTTTCCACTCTGCTACCAGGGCAGGGACCGGCATGATGAGAATCCCAGGCTGGGAATGACTGTTTCCAGCTCATTAAAATTGGCACTGAGTGGACTGTGTCTTCAGGGGCTCCTTGCTTTCTCCTGTTCCTTTTGCCCTGGGTGTCTTGGTGAGCTGAGGCTGGCTGGGTTTGCAATGGGGCGGGGTGGGTTTGGGCTCCTTTTCCAGCGGTGGCTTGCAGATTGGTGGCTGGAGTGGACAACTGGGTGTGAAGAGAGCTGGTTGCCAATGCCCGCCGGGTCTTGTGTTGTTAGAGCTTGTTATGCAATAGTAATACAAGGATGAAGCCACATAAACGTAGCTGATTCCCACGTCACCGAGTTTATGCAGTGTCCCTAGGGACAGGGCTGGCTACATCTGCTCTGCTGGCTCCAGTTGCCCTTTGGTGACATCTGCACTTGGAACACCGTGGGCATGTCTACTCGTGCATTTACATCAGCTTAAATTTACTGCGCAGTAAGGAGGAACAGGCTAGCATATACACCTGCAGGCACTAAAGCACATTAACACTGTGTGTGGATTGACTTAGGACTAAAGTTAGTCCCAAATCAGTCCACATGCACAGTGTTACTGTGCAGCAAGGTGTCTACACATGCGTTACTGCGCAGTAACTAATCTTTGATACCTGCATGATGCAGGTATCAAATTTATGCTCAAGTTGGTGGAAGTAGCCATATTTATTGCGCAATACAGGTGTGCATGTATAGACGCACACCTGTACTGCACAGTAATTTCAGTTACTGCACAGTAAATGCTCATGTGTAGACGCGCCCAATGAGTGCCACTAAAGGGCTCACCAGCTATTTAAAGGAGCGCTACCCAATTTCTACCCCCTGCAATGTCCTGCTCTGGGAGGAAGTTTGTGTAGTGGCTAAAGTTGGAGTGGGGCAGTGTTTCTTGTTGGGCCAGCGGCTTGTTGTGTGACTGTGGGCAGGGTGCTTCACTCCCCTTTCAGGCCTCAGTTTCCCCCAGCTGTAAACTGGAGCTTGCGCTATTCCACCCCTCGGTAAATGCTGAGGGAGGTGGTGTGGGTCCCGCCTGGTGAGAGCCAAGGATGATGAATGAAGAACATGAACCATTTCAGCCTAGATCACTAGTGATTCTCCTGCCTTGCTGCAAACAGATGCTTGAAGAGGCAAAAAATGCATCTGCTGGGAGCCAGTTATGGACTGACAGGCCCTGGGGGCAGCTTGTGCCTTTAAAACCCTGCCCAGGCACTTGCTGGGTTTCTTCCCCACTGTCCGTGTTCCCTGAAGGGGGCAGCCCCTCTGGTCGTCCCCCCCACCCGGGGGGATTAGTCCTGCTGATGCTGGAGAAATCTCCATCCACTCTGGTGCTGGGCTGACATCCCCTGTCCTTCCCTCCACAGGCTGCTGGTGGGGGCACCGTGGGAGGGCACGGCCGACGACCGGAGAGGGGATGTATACAAGTGCGCGGTGGGATCCAGGAACCGCTCCTGCAGCCAGGTCCACTTAGGTAACGAGGTCTGAAAAACCCTGGGGCACTTGGGGAATACATCTCCTGCCCAAGGGCTTTGGAGACATTGTGGTTCCTCAGTCCACTGGCTTGTTCACAACCCCCAACACTAAGTCTACTGCCTCAGAGGTGAAAAATCTCCATTGGCATTTGCCTTCAGAAAGGGGGTGGCTGCTGCCAAGGTGCAGAAGGGATTGAGGGGCCTGGCTCCATGCAGGGAGGGCAAGGGGCTCTAATTCCCTTGGGCAGCCTCTCATACTGTTTCTTCTCTCCCCCCACCACCCTTGGGACCTTGCTGCAGGTGACACTGCCCTCCGCAACGTCTCCAAGCAGATCAAGAACATGCACTTTGGGATGACACTCGTGGACAACAAAGGCGAAGGGTTTGTGGTGAGCAGAGGCCTTCCCCATGGGCTGGAAAAACCCACCGCTGGCATTTCTGTGCCTGGAAAGCCATTTGCCTTTACTCCCCAGCCCTGCAAAGGGTGTCGAGGCAGAGACGAGGGGCCTGTTGTGCCAGATACCATACACGAGGCAGCTGTTCCCCACGAGTTACATGTACAGCGCCTAGCACCGTGATACCAGAGTGTCCCCTGGGGGTGCATGTCAGCATGTGGGTCAGCGTGGGAGATGGCTCTGGGGATCAGATTAGGATGGTGCCCCCCCTCAGGGCTCCTTGAGCTTGAAGGGGACAGCTCGCACCTCTCCCAGCTGCTGTTTGAGGCTCTCGGCAAACTCAGCCTGCCCTCCGCTTGCTGCCTTGGGGCTTCCTGCCATAAATGCTGAGGCTAAGCCATGCTCCCGAGCAAGGGAGGTTTTGAAGCTAGGGGTGTCCTTTTTGCAGCAGTGGTTTACCCAGCTCTGCCCTCTCTGGGGAGGCTGGGAGGGGAGGAATTGTTTGGCTGCAGGGTAGCAGAAAGGAAGACCCACACATCAGTCATATCAGATGGTCCTCTCCCAGTCCCTCTGTTCCTCTCCCCTGGTGCTGCCTCCTCATGAAGGCTGCTTTTGTGCCCATAACCTTTTCAATATTCGGCGTCCGGATGTTTTCTCCCTTCGCTTGCTGCTTTCCAGGGTTATCCCAGGAGAAGCAGGCCGGGCAAGGGGCTGGCTGGCTTAGGGGAGTGGGGCACAGCGCCTGTCATTCCTATTTCCATTCCTAAAACCAGGCCAGAAATGGCCCCAGACACCCGTTCAGTGGGTTCTGGGTGTCTTGTCCTGCCCCAATACAGCAGTATTGTGGCAGGGGAGGGCGCAACAGGGGGTTTTGGGGGCAGGACTGGTTAATCTGGGCTGGGTTCCCGGCAGCGCCAACCGGCCCCTGCTACTCAGAGCATGTTTCTGCCCATTTCTAACTGCAGTAGGTCTCTCTGGGACAGAGCTGGGGGTGCTAATCCTGACCCCCCGCCTTGCCATGAGGCAAAGGATGGAGTATGGGGCTGACTCCCTGTCCCCTTCTGGCATGGGGGTGACTCCATGCGGCTGTTGCATCTGTCTGCATTTCCGCAGCGTGACCCCCTAAAAAGCTGGGGAAGGGCATCTGCACCTCTTGGGCTCTTGTGGCAAATCTCCCACCTCCAGAAGTCTTGCTGGAGTGGGGAAAGTTTGAAGCTTTACAAGATGGGGAGAGGCGGGGCAGGGAGCAAAGATTTGGAGGCTGGAAGGGCCAGAAGGACTGACGGGGAGATTAGACAGCGGAGATGATGTGGAGCTGGATTTTCCACGCTGGGGCTGCAATTAGCCGCCTCCTGACGACCAGGTCCCTTGGGGCACTGCTGGCTGGCAGGGGAGGGGGCAGGGGACGAGTCCCTGTCCCCAGTCTGTGCCCTCGCAGGAGGACGAATATAGCCCGGTCTGGCTGGGCGTTCCCGGAGCTGAGGCTGACACCCTGCATTTTTGTGGTTGCCTCGGGTTTGCATAGCGCAGCGCCTGCCAGGAGCAGAGGCAGCCCTGAGTGCAGGCAGGACTGGGGGCAGCGGGGCTGGGCGGGGTGTCCATAGAGCTGAAGCACTCGGTTGGGTGGAGATGGAGCCCAGCAAAAACATGCAGGCACAGGCAGTGTCCCCCAAAACAGCCAGTCACCCCCTCCCCCAGCTCTCCCTGGGAATGGGGTCTCTGCTGTCATACGGTGCCCCCCTTTGCAAGGTCACAGGCTGGGGCAGTGCCCCCCTTTGCAAAGCCACGGGCTGGAGAGGTCCTGGGCAGGCAGCGGGTGCATAGCCAGGGGTAACACACATCTCCCTTGCCCACAGGCCTGTGCCCCGCTCTGGTCCCAGGAGTGCGGCACCTCCATGTTCAGCACGGGCATTTGCACCAAAGTGGACAGCGACTTCCGCCCGACCGAGACCATTGCTCCCACAGCTCAAAGTAGGTGGGAGCCACCTGCCTGGGTGCATGGGGGGTGGGGGAAGAGCCCAGCAAGGCTGGAGATCTCCACCCTTGGCTTGGACCCCTGGGCTGCGAGCCGTGCACAGCTCTGCTCTCCCCGCACCAGGATGGTCCGGCTGAGCTGGGACAGTGCAAGACATCCAGGATGAATGCAGTGTCCTGGAGAGACAACCTGCCTGAGATCCTGTTCCCAGAATGCTTTGCTTCTGACACCCACACCCTGCAACCAGATGCAAAGCACAACCTGTTTTTTAGCAGCTCGTTGCATGGGAGAGATGCATTTCAAAGCACCCTTAGCTCTGCCCCGATTCCTCTCTCGCTGCCCTCAAACACAGGATGGGACCCAGGAGTCCTGCTGCTCTTAACCGGAAGGCACTGACCCATCTCCCCGAAGCCCCAGCTCCCATCCCTCTACTCCAGCTGCTTTCAGGTCAAGTGCAAGGAAACCCCATCCCTCTACTCCAGCTGCTTTCAGGTCCAGTGCCAGGAACCCCTGAAGCCAAAACAGCCTGTTTTGTTTCTGGCTTTTTTTGCCTTTTTCTTTTTTTTTTTTTATTTCAATGTGGGCAATTTTTGGAATGAAAATCTGAATGTTCGTCCTTTTCCAAATATTTTTCCCTTTATTTTTTCAGCTGAAACTATGTGCTGAATTCCACCCACGGTAGCAGCACTTTTCTACCCACCCCAACTGTGATTTTGTCCTGGAAAAATAATATTTATTTGGTAGAGGTGGGGGGAATAAACCCCCAGCTCTTGTACTGACCTGTTCATGTGTGTGTGTGTGCGTGCATGTGTGTGCACACATGTATGTGTGTGTTTCCAGGGTGCTCCACCTACATGGACATTGTGATTGTTCTGGATGGTTCCAACAGCATCTACCCTTGGTACGAGGTCCAGAATTTCCTCAGTAACATCCTCAGCAAATTCTTCATCGACCCGGAGCAAATCCAGGTGAACACATGGGTACTTTGGTCCCCAATATCAATCTGGGGTGGATCTCAGGGAAGCCGCTCTGGTGTGAATTAAGATCACTAAGCAGAAGTGTCAGAGCATGGGCAGATGTAATCACAGTCTGGAATCAGAAGTTGCCAGCTGTGCCCACTCTATCCCAAATTAAGCTAAAGCTAATGTGCGGTCATTTAGCAGCTATTTGGGCGCTTGTACATGTGATGAAATTCTGGTTTAAACCAACATTTAGCTTGCAATCCAGTCCAATTTAGCTTCCCTTCTTGTGGGATAGGAGTGGACCCATGAAACGGTTGCGCCAGATCAGTGGGCAGACATTTGCAAACACCAGGTCTCTTCCTCTTCTCTCAAACATGGGTCAGGGCTTTGAGCACCTGGAGACACCACAGACACCGGACAGACACACATGCCCCAGTGAGTTTTGTACGGCAGTATGAATTACACAGTGAACAAGGAGGGACAGATGTGCAGCTATTCCGGGGTAACTCCCCCAGTAGGTAGCTGCGACACTCTCACCATTAGGTAGGGGAGCAGGTAAGATGCCTTCAGCAGACGGTTACCCCGGGATGGGTATGGACAGATGATGCCTAAACTGGGATAACTTATACCAGTGTCATCTCACCCCTGATTCTTTCCACCACACCTCTTCACCAGGTTGAGTGACCCCAGGTCCAGGGGCTTGTGTCACTTGTCTGCAGCTTTTTTTATGCCAGTGTCATGCTGGTTATACTGGTACAAGTGTGTCCTGGCCTGGGGTCCCGGGGAAAGGAGCTGAGTGAGCGGTGCTGCCAGTGCGCCCACAGTCTCAGAGGGGTCTGGCCTAGATGGGACGGGGGGAGGACAAGGGGACAGGGCCAGGGAGGTTGTGAACGGCCTCAGCCCCCACAAGGAGATGAAAGGAAATGGGCTTCCCGAAGAAATGCCCGTGGCCGCCCCCTGTTCCCCACATCCTCCGGATGAGCCAGCAGGAAGCAGCGACTGGGACCTGCTGACTCGCCGAGGCAGGCAGCTGAGTCAGGGCCGCGTCCCTCAGGGCCGCCCCCCCTCCACGGCGGGGGCCCGATCCTGAGGGCAGGGCCCGCTGCCTCGGATGTACTCGGCCCCTTCTGGGTGGTGTCGGGCCTTTGTCCCACTGCAGGCTGCTGCTTGGGGGAAGGGGCAAGTGCCCTGGCTCCGGGGGTGTCTTGCCAGCCGGTTCCCTGAATCCTTTGCACTCCCCCCCACTATGGCTTTGGGCCACCCCGCATTTGCCCAGGTTGGCGCCTTCCCAAAATGCCCTGCATCTCGCTGTCACAGCACCCTTTCCCGCCAGCGGCATTGTTGTTAGCCATGTCCCGCAATGCCTTGCACCTGGAGCGCGACCCACCACTTGCCCAGAGCTGACGTCAGCAAGTTGAAAAATCCCACAGCAAACAGGAAACCTGAAGCCAGCCGGGGAGGGGAGGGAGCCTGGCCGCTGGGGCGGGCTGCGTGCTGGGCACTGAATTGGCAAATGCCGCGGCTGAAACCCCAGACCTCTGCCAAGGCCGGGAGTGGAGCCGCAGGGGGGTCACCCGAGCCAAACACCCCCTACCCCTCTGATCCCAGCTTGGCAGTGGGGAGCCCTGTCTACATGCACCGCATCTGTCTCCCTCTTGGGCTTTTAATCCAGTCCCTGGGAGCCTGGAACTGCCCCCAGGCTGGGTGGGAGGCTTGGCTTGATCTTCTGCACCCCCCAATTCATCCCAGCTGCTTTAGGAGGATACGGGAGAGGATTTCCTGCGGGCAGAGGGTGGAGGGAAGCAGCATGGGGCAGGAAGATTCCCAACCCCACAGGCTCCCTCGCACCTAGACTCGAGCTCCTTGGCGTCCCATCCAGGTCCTTCATGTCCGTTCTGTCCCAAAATACAGGCCCCAGCATCCCATTTCCTCTGGGACAGTGAGCGGGTGGCTCAGAGCGCCCCGGTCTACGTCTCCAGCGAGCTCTGTGCCCACGGCTGCCCCATCTCGGTGACCCCGGGCAGGACATGGTGCTCCTGCGTGAGCACCTGAGGGCTCTCAAGGGCTTTCCGAGATGGCCACTGATTGATAGCTGTATCTTGACTGAGCATAGGGAGAGCTGGGGGCTCTCCTCCTTGCCTGTGGGTATCTATGCCAGCATCGCTGGACCGGTGTTCAAATACCTGCCAGACCAGCCCTGGCTAGAAGTCAGATGTAGTGATTAGGGTGGCCATCATAGAGGACATTCCGGTTTTCTGCTACTCTGTCCCCTGTCCTCTATTCATATGAAACCCGACGTCTTTATGTCCTCTATTTTTCTCTTCTTGAAGAGAAGACATAAAGGCGTCGGGTTTCGTATCAATAGAAGACAACCAGACGGCCCTCTATAATGGCCACCCTAGTAATGATTGCTTATTGAACCCAGTGATCACTGCAGATACAGGGCAGGATTTGACCAGCGAGGGGTATGAATCACAGGAACATGCTGGGGATTTTCCATCTCTTTGAGCTCTGATCTTGAGGCTGTCCGCGTGCTGCCCCCATGCAGGCTGGACTCAGTTGAATCAGCCTTTTCCAGGGCAGAACTGTTCCACTGGGCAGCTTTTGCCTTTTCCCCTTTGCAAATCAGGCAAGGGACCTCATCGCCGACTGCCTCAAAGCCATGAAATGTGCAAAACAAAACCTCGAGGCAAGGCAACTGAGGCACAGGCTGAGATCAAGCTGCTTGCCCTAGAGCTGGGAGTTGAACCCCAGCCTCTGAGCACCCTGGTCTCATCCCTCCAGCTCTCTCCAAGGCCGGACTTTGGAGGGAGAAAGCGCTAACCCCACGAGGGGTTGTTGTGTTGCAGGTTGGGGTGCTTCAGTATGGGGAGAAAGCGGTCCACGAATGGAGCCTGCACGACTACCAGACGGCGGAGGAGGTGGTGGAGGCCGCAAAGAACATCAGCCGGCAGGAGGGCAGGGAGACGCGTACGGCGTTCGCTATACACACGGCCTGGTGCGTGCAGGGTCAGCGGTACCGGAGGGGAGACCCGTCTCACGGAAGGGCCCAGGGATAGCACTGACAGCCCGTGAGGAGCTGAGAAAGCATTAGGGTGCTTGGGTCCCGGTGCAGAAATGCAGCCAGCTCTGGGGTGGGAGAATGACCGTTAATAACACCACCAGCAGGATGTGGAAGGGAAAATGCAGCTGAGGCATGAGAGGACAGCACTGGGGTTGGGCCCAGCCCACCAAACCCCACACATCTCGACCTGCCCTGGAGAGGGTGGTGGAGGCCTGCAGAGCTTGCCCAAGGCAAAAGCAACAGCCCAGCTGCCTGCAATGAGCTGTCTGGGGGCTTGAGAGGGCAAGGGGCCGGGAAGCCATGGGCAGAGGTTTCTTGCTTCCGTGAGAAAACATGGTGCAACGTGGTAAGAGCACCCGGGGCATCACAGCAGCAAGCGGCAGCACCCGGGTGCGGGGAGTGATGGCAGCCTGGCCTCAGGGAATGCCATGCAAACACAGATCCCAGAGGCAGAGGAGACCTCTGCTAGGGCTCTGGGCTGGGAGATTCATAGATTCATAGAGGTTAGGGTCGGAAGGGACCTCAATAGATCATCGAGTCCGACCCCCTGCACAGGCCTACTCACAAAAGTTAAAATACAGAATATTAATGACAATTGCATAGTGCAAGAGCATGTAAGTTTGCGGCTGGACCTTCTGAAAAGAAATAATGAGACATCACTTCCAGTTTATCTAACTGAATGATTTTAAGCAGGCTTCTATGTGTCTGGAATGTGATTCTGTGAAATATCTATCCTTGATTAATTATTATAGTAAATATTTCTTTGCAATTTACTCAAGTTTATGTGCAGGGAGATTCATAGATTCATAGATGTTAGGGTCGGAAGGGACCTCAATAGATCATCGAGTCCGACCCCCTGCATAGGCAGGGAAGAGTGCTGGGGCTAGATGACCCCAGCTAGATGCCTATCTAACCTCCTCTTGAAGACCCCCAGGGTAGGGGAGAGCACCACCTCCCTTGGGAGCCCGTTCCAGACCTTGGCCACTCGAACTGTGAAGAAGTTCTTCCTAATGTCCAGTCTAAATCTGCTCTCTGCTAGCTTGTGGCCATTATTTCTTGTAACCCCCAGAGGCGCCTTGGTGAGTAAAGCCTCACCAGTTCCCTTCTGTGCCCCCGTGATGAACTTATAGGCAGCCACAAGGTCGCCTCTCAACCTTCTCTTGCGGAGGCTGAAAAGGTCCAGTTTCTCTAGTCTCTCCTCGTAGGGCTTGGTCTGCAAACCCTTAACCATACGAGTGGCCCTTCTCTGGACCCTCTCCAGGTTATCCGCGTCCCTCTTGAAGTGCGGCGCCCAGAATTGCACGCAGTACTCCAACTGCGGTCTGAACAGCGCCTGATAGAGGGGAAGTATCACCTCCTTGGATCTATTCGTCATGCATCTGCTGATGCATGATAAAGTGCCATTGGCTTTTTTGATGGCTTCGTCACACTGCCGACTCATGTTCATCTTGGAGTCCACTAGGACTCCAAGATCCCTTTCCGCTTCCGTGCCACCCAGCAGGTCATTTCCTAGGCTGTAGGTGTGCTGGACATTTTTCCTCCCCAGGTGCAGCACTTTGCATTTCTCCTTGTTGAACTGCATTCTGTTGTTTTCTGCCCCCTTGTCCAACCTGTCCAGGTCTGCTTGCAGCTGTTCCCTGCCCTCCGGCGTGTCCACATCTCCCCATAGCTTTGTGTCATCTGCAAACTTGGACAGAGTACATTTCACTCCCTCATCCAAGTCACTGATGAA